AAGCATTGACTCACAAGGTTAGTTTGGCTGAAGATGGCCTTTTGGTTCATCTGTTTTTTAAGCTTCTAACCTGCTCACCATGGACTTTGATTAGAATAATCAATTGGCTGCCACGTTTTGCCCAACAACAGACAGTCATTACACTTTACAATATATCCTGTGAAGCATTTTGAGATGTCTTGAAGATGTAATAAGGCGCTGTATCAAATGCAAGGATTATTATTATTAATGGTGAACAGTGATGGAAAACCAAGCTAATTTGTTATTAGTGTTAATTAAATTCTTGAAGACACGCAAACGTCACCCCATTTCTTTCCAGAGAGTATCGGGGGCGGCTTTGGACATATTGGAATTGAAACATGAGTTGCCTCTCAAGTCTTGAGTGTCTGCCCTGTTTTTCTTATTTTGACTTTATGTGTTATTTCCCTACAGAGTTCATGTTAATATTTACAAAAGCTCAATAGTCCCATCGCTGAGCTATAATCTTTGCCATTAAAATAAATGACATTACCAGCCATTATAATATCTCCATCATATGCGCCTACACATACACACACACACACAAACTCACGCGCGCACACACACACACATACACACATCCTTGTTACCGTGCGAAGGATGAATTGACAACGCTGTCATAAAGTTACACGATTTCACGGGAGCTGATGAAACTGATGTCTTATGAATAATAAAACAGCCAATTGATGGCAGAATGGTCTGATTCGATACAATATCTGCTTTCCTATTACAGGCAATGTCTTTCCCGAGTGCTGTACGAGGTAGATTTGTCTCAATAAAAAATAAAAGCGTTCCGTTATGTTTCCCTCCGATCGGAGCGCGGGGAATGTTTGGCAAGGGTGCACACGCAGAGCATTTCACGGGCAGTGACTCCAACAAACCAGTAACTGATTGTCATCATGCAAACAATAAAACAGGCCCTGGGAATCTGCAAATAAAATGGAACCCAGCGCTGTTAGCCCATCGGCTAGCAAAGCACTTACTGTGAAATGAAATTGGTTTAAATGACTTTCCAGCCAATTGAATTTGCGGAGCTAGGAAAACATTGTACATTTAATTGCATTCTATTAGCATGAACTAAAGGTGCCTTCAAACTGTGTCAATAAATTACCGTAACGTTCAATTTATTCGGTGGCCCTCAGTGCACACGGTTCTCCTGCCATGTGCGCGAGTGCTCTTTGAGGTAATGTTCTTTCCTTTCAAGTCCTTCGACATTTTCTGAGAAAGGTGGCTCACTTCTTTTCCAGGGAGGTGGAAGAGAGGTGCGTCATCTTTTTAAAGAAATATTGCAAAATCCACTCCTTCGTGTCCTTGTCTTTCAATTTTAACCCCACATCTGCCACCTGCCTCTGCTCTTGGTCCAATATTCTAGGCCACACCTTGTCCCCCTCTTGATCTCCAGTGAAAATTTCATCTTGTCCAACATTCACAGCTTCTAAGGGGTTTCTCTTGCCTTTTGTTTACGTGTAAGCAAGTTGTTGTCAACAACAACAACATCAAGATTCCATTTATAGAGCGCCTTTCACGTCGGGAGGACGTCCCAAGGCGCTGTGATCCCGAAGCAATGAGTTGCGAAACTATGACACACACCACTGTTGTCCTGTCAGCCTGCAGAGAACCACACCGAGCTGGAGGGAGGGAGGAGGTGACCATAAGCACGGTGGGAGAGCAAGGTCTTCACGTGGGGAAGGATGGGACAAGATGGAGGAATTGGGGGAGAGAGTTCCAAAGCTTCGGGGCGTAGTGGCTGAAAGCACAGCTGTCGATGGTGGAGGGGACGAGGGACAAGTAGGAGGCCAGAGCCAACCACCAGGACAGAAGATCCGGGAAGTCTTTGCCCTATGATCGGCAATTCTTCCTGTCTCTCTCGCTCTCTATCTCTCTCTCTGTCTCTCTCATTTCTCACCATCTCCATCCTCTCTTTCTGTCTCTCCAGCCCCCACCCCCCCACCCCACCAATCCATTTTCTTCTCTCTCTCTTTCCATCCCTCAAATATTTCCACATCCCAAAGCAATGAGTTGCGAAACTATGACACACACCACTGTTGTCCTGTCTGTGCGAAGAAAGGAATCATCAGTAGAATTTCCTTCACAAATAATCCAGTTTCTTACATTTTAAATAAGGGTTGGCAATTTGAGCTCTGGCTGAGCATTTATTGTGGGGCTACTTTCCTCTCCTCCCCTCCTTCTCCTCTCCTCTCCTCTCCTCCCTTTCCTTTCCTTTCCTCTCCTCCCCTCCCCTCCCCTCCCCTCCCCTCTCCTCTCCTCTCCTCTCCTCTTCTCTCCTCTCCTCTCCTCTCCTCTCCTCTCCTCCCCTCCCCTCCCCTCTCTCTCCTCCTCTCCTTCTCCTCCCCTCCCTGTCTTCCCCCCCCAACTCTCTCTTCTCCCCTCCCCTCCCTTCCCCTCCGTCTCCTCCCCTCTCTTCTCCCCTCCGCTCCCCCTCCCCTCCTCTCCTCCAGCACCATCGCCCGACTTGTGGGGTTGCTATGGTGCGACGCTGAGATTCATTGTGACTCCGTGAGACTCGGTCCACGCTGGTTGTGGCTCATTTTCACTATTCAACTGGCACAAAAAAAAGCTTCATCCTTTACCGGGAATAAAAGATGACTCCTGTTAGAATGCTGGAATCTCAGGGCTCGCTTGCCAGCATATCCTGCCCAGTCTGGAGTACACAGACCAGTCTCTTCACATTGGCAGCAGACTGACCTTTCTTTTTATATAAAAAAAACACAACCCACTTGATGCTTTTTAGCAGTCAGATGCATTAATGCCTGTCTGGCTCCTCATTGAGACTTGGGAGGTGCAGACACAACTGTAACACTATGAGCAAAGCTCTAACAGGTAAATCCGTCCTCGCTGGGTTGTGAAACCGATATCATTTGTATTCTTGATTAATAATGCAATTGATGTTGCCTGGATTTGCACCTAAACCATTGCGATTACTGCTTAGTTTGATCACAACAAGGGTATCATCAGCTGCAGTTATTAACTGAAGCCTAAATATTTATAATATTGATGCAATGAGCATCAAAATTTTGTAGCCCAGAAGGAACCACTTGGTCCGCCGTGACTGAGTCTGAAATAGTCTTCGTTCAGTTCAGTGTCAGCCTGCCTCAGTTGGTAGTACAAACCAAGGGCATGGGGAAAGAGTGGGGAGTGGGTAGCTCTTCCAAAGGGCCAGCACAGGCACGATGGGCCGAATGGCCTCCTTCTGTGCTGTAATATTCTTTGATTCTATAATAGTCTCACCTCTGAGGCAGAAGGTTGTGGGTTCAAACCCCACATTGGGACTATATAACTCAGTCCAAGCCTCTGCTGCATGGCTAGAGATATCCTTTGGATGAGATGTTTAAAATTAGGTCCCATCTGCCTGTTCAGGTGGACTTTAAAGATTCCATGGCACTTTTCGAAAAGAGAGTTTCTCCCGGGGTTCTGTCCAACAATCCATTTATTTTAGGGTTGTTTGTGGGACGCTTCTTTGTCTACAAAATACCCAGTCACTACACTTTACAGTAAATCCCGTGAAGCACTGTGAATCACCCTCCAACATGAAAGGTGCTAGATTAAATGTAATTTTTTTATTATCCACTTAGCCGTATTTCCCTGTCTCACTTTTAATAAGGACCCTTATATATTTGGAGTGGTTTTTTTTCTCCTAACAGTAATTGTGAAACCATGGATGTCTCAAAATCATCTGATTCTGTTTAAACTAATCCTGAGACCAAAACACTTGCGAACCACAAGCCCATCTTTGTCGACAGAAATGTTCCCTGAAGGTTCATTGACTTCAAGAGGGAGCAGAGCAGAGCAGAGCGGCTACAAAGGGACCAATTCATGAAGTGAATGCACTGTCATGTGAAAAGGATTGATCTGGACACGCTAACTCGGACACGCTAACTCCGTTCATCCTATCTTTCTTTTTTATAATCTTCCCCCCCCCACCCCACACCACCCCCACTCCAGCATTTCCGTTTGATTTTCTTTTGTTGGCCAAATGAGCTGTGCTCTTACCAGAATGTGACGCAGTTCATCAAAGCACACGCTCCACACACTAACACTAACACACACTAACAGCCAGTTAATGTCCCCTACACCTCCCATTGCCACTCGCACAGAATCAAAAGGCTCGAGACCGAGCCTATCCTCATTTACTTCCCGACACCCAATGCATTGCTGGGAGGAAAAACTCCATTGTTGGGAGTGCCGTCCTTTGTATGAGACATTAAACTAAGGTCCCGTCTGCCTCGTTCAGTGGACGATAAAAATCCCTTGTCACTGTTTGAAAAGAGAAGGGAGTTTCTCGCGGTGTGCTGGCCAATAATTGTTTGAATGAAACTAATTATTTACTTCATGGCTACTTGCGGAATTTTGCTGTCGGCAGCGTTTGCTTCCAAAAGAAGGACTGGACTTTACATTAACTTCTGTAAAGCTCTTTGAGATGTAAAAGGCGCTTTACCAAACGCAAGGATTATTATTAAGAACGAGGCTGAAAATATAGCCTGTGTGATCAACACGTCTTTAAAATTTACAATTGTGCAGGATTGTAGAAAACTGCTTAAATTCAGCCTTAATATGGCAACTGGTTTTCCAAAAACTGCTTACAAAGCAAGACTGAATTGAAGAATTTGACAATTTAAACTTAAATTATAAGACAAAAAGCTTTCATAGGGACAGACCAGATGGAATTTTAGGCCTTCTATTTTGTCACCTGGGGATCCATGTGCTTTTTAAAACAAACAGAGCAAATGTGAATAGTAATAAATAATCCTTGCATTATAATATAGTGCTTCATCGCGTCATTGGGACATCCCAAAGCGCTTCACAGAATACTCTGTGAAGTGAATTGACTGTATTTTCTGGGCGAAACCTTTGCGTTTTACAAACCATCTTCCTCGTTCACTGAACCTTATCCACAAGAGATGGATACCTTTTTCTTACAAAATAAAATCACAATCAGAAATGCAGCGTGATATAAATACCCGTAAACTTTATTAAATGTGTGCTTTTTTTAAAAAAAACTTTTTAAATTAGGTAAAAAAATACCCAATACAGAAATAGCACCCCAGTTAAAGAAATCTGTGAATAGAATATTATAGTAACACAATTAGTAATTCTGTAAAAAATAACTTTCTGCCCAGAGTTTTGTCTATTTTTACAGATAGATTGTGGGCTCCTGTCTCCAAGCCGAGCTGATGTAACTGTGCTAGGTTGTTCATTCTATGATCTTGCCTAATAGTGTGGCTAATATTTTATTAAATAAATAATTCGAAACAAAATGCTTTGAGCATAAGGATAGAGCAACTCCTCAAACTAAAGTTTACTTACAATAATAGCTTCTGCTTATTTTTTTGTTTATTTTAAAAAAAGTTCCAACTTTTGCACAAACTGCCTTACTGGGAAGAGTTCACATGAATCGCTTCTCTCAATCGTCCCAGCCAAAGTTCTGACCCGTCATTTGGTAAAATTTCATGTTGAAAGGCCGGTAAAAGTCTCTGAGCCTCTGAACCACCTCGGGGTCAATGTTGGGATGGGTTCTGCCTTTTGTTTTGCCCAGGCAGTGGGGTTTGCTGCTGCCCTCTGGCTTCTTCAAGCAGGGGAAGCCCTTGGTCTGATTAAAGTAGAAATGTTTGTCTGTGATGATTCTCTTCAGCCCCAGGAAGTCCTGCACCTTGCCCAGCTCTCCGGCTGGGTCGCTGATGAGCCTCTCCCCGCTCACAAACAAGATCTGCCGCATGGGGAAGTACTGCAGCCAATTCTCCAGGTGCTTGGCATAGATGCCAATCTGGATGGCGCTCCACGAGGTGTCAATCAGGCCTGTAGTCCTGTTTTTGAAGGTCAAGCTCTCAAAGCTGGGGATATCGGGCTTTTTGGAGAGAGTCTGAGTGTAATCGGAGATAGCACGAGTCACAGGGTCACGGACCACCACAATCAGCTTGGCGTCCTTGGACATTGCGTGGATACGAGGAGGCGTCTCCTTGGTCACGTAGTAACTGGGCGTTTTCTCCATGGTGACTTGTCCATCCAGAGTTTTTGGCATCAAGTCCCTGAGGGGGGAAAGAGGAACAAGTTAAGATGAGAATATTTCCTCTAGCAATTTACTGGAAAACCTTTACACAAGTGTAGATTAATATGAACCAGCCTGATTTTGCTTCAGATGTTTTATATTGTCCGCATGTGTGGAAGCGGAGAGGCAGAGAGAAACTTGGATACATCTGAATGGGCGTCTGGATGGATCAATGGTCAATTCCTGCCTAAACTTGTCCTGGAGAGACAGCCTACACTATAAGCTCAAGTCTCCATGTGGAGCGTGAACCCATAACCTTCTGACCCGGAGCTGAGATGAAAGATTAATTGTAATACTTTGAATATATTGTCTATAACATCAAAGTGCTTCACAGGCCATTGCTGTACAGTGGAGTGACTGAGCATGTATTTGTAGGTGAACAGGGCAACTAATTTGTACAGCAATGAGCCCCGAACAGCTACAAAGCCAATGACCTTTTCGAATAATGTCATGGTATTGATAACATCCATCTGAACAGATGGACGGGACCTCGGTTTAATGTTAAAGTTGTTGTGCTGGTGTGTCAGCCAACAGTGTGAACTCATGATGTTGTGGCTTGAACCCACAAAATACAGTCAATTCACTTTACAGTGTACTCTGTGAAGCGCTTTGAGACGTCTCGAAGATGTGATAAGGTGCAATATGAAATGCAAGGATTATTATTATTATTCTAATAACCTTCTGGAGCAAAGGCGTGAGTGTATTTCACCAATTTATTCTCATTACTATTAAGAAAAGTCATGTTATTGAAATAAAAATGATTTGCCAACCGCCCTGTAATTTTAGAAAATAAAATGTCAAAAGGATGGTCACAATGAAAATAGGAGGGTTGTGGGTGGAGATAATAATAATAATAATAATAATAATAATCTCTGCTGTTGATATAGCTCCTTATCACATCTTTGAGACGTCTCAAAGCACTTCACAAAATATACTGTATAGTGAATTGACTGAATATTTTACGGGCGAAAATAATCTGCAGAATGTTCACCTCGGTGCTACTGACAGCGTAGTAGCGGCTGTGTCGGGAGCAGAACCGGTGTTTAGCGGCTGATGACTTTGAGCCTCAACACTTAAGATTATTGCCAGTCACAATGAAGTCCATTACAAGCCCAGGCACTGGAAGGAGCCATGATGAGGGCCCGAGGCTATAAACTGAGCAATACAATGTCATGTTGGCTGTCACAGAGTGCTTGTTTTATGCGCGATATTTCTTTTGGAAGGAGTGTGTCATACTAAATAAGAAACAAGGGGAAGGAAAGGGAATAGAGAAAATCTGATTTTTTTTCTTTTTCTCTTATTTACTGGCAGTGCTTGCTCAGCTGGGGATGAACTTATTTCAAGTGCAAGGAATAATAATCCCTCCAAAACACAAAACAATAATAAATTGGTCATTTTCAATCCACAGCTGTTTGTGGGACACTGCTGTGCGCAATTGGCTGCCGCGTTTCGCCCACAAATATACAGTCAATTCACTTTGCAGCATATTCTATGAAGTGCTTTGAGACGTCGAGAAGATGTGATCAGGCGCTATATCAAATGCAAGGATTATTATTAACTGAGGTGAGTTTTATAAATTGGTGTCTTGCTGTTGCTATTTCAAAGAAACACTAAGATTTTCTCCTGGTTTATTCTGGATTTAATTCCCTTTCCCTCCCCACCCCCTCCCAAACCCAAACCCCCCCACACACACACCACCCAGCCACTTCTCATCCAAATTTATTCCCAAATCGAAATGAATCTCGTTATTTATGGGATATTCCAGATGCCACGTTTATGCAGCATGACTATATGATGTTCACTTTCGTTTCTAATCTATTATTTTCTTAAAAAAACACTCAGACACTACCCTGTATGAAGAGCACTATATAAATACAAGTTGTTCTTTTCTACGTGCAAGCCGCTTTGTAATTGCAAGTTATCAGTAAAAGATATATCGCTGGCTCGGTTACATTTCTTCATAAACCAGTAAAGTGGAGACTGTGCATTTGAAGGTGAATTTCAGGTGTAGGAGGACATTCAGCCCATCCTGCCAGTTGGACTATTGGCAGATCGTTTAATCCCATTTCTTTGCCTTTTCTCCAAACCCCTTAATTTCCGAGTGTCTCTTTCTCTTTAAACTTTGAAATTGATTACAGCCTCCCCAGATTTCAGGGGCAGTGCATTCCACACACTCCACCTGAAAAATTGTTTGCTGGTCTCGCTTCTGACCTGTTTAGCCGTCTTTTTTTAAGAAGAGTCGGTCACTTATTCAGCTCGCTAATTCTTCACACCTCAATCGAGAGAATGAGCAGAAAGAACCCTTTGTGCCAATGCTCCTTGTGCATTTGTCATCAACCACACACAATCCTCTGTGTGTCTCACTCAGCAACTCCACACCCTGTAAGATTAGGATGTCATCGCTCTGTGCCTCACTCTGTTAGAGGTCTCTCTACCCTCAGAGTTATCGCCCAGTGTTTTGCTGAACCGCACAGATTTTATTCCGTGCTGTGCGGCTAATGTGTTCCCTGTTGGTAAGATTGCGAATTGGACCAACAACATAAAAGTGGATTATAAATGATTTACATCCACTGCTCTGCCACTTCAATCTATTTCAGGCTTGGGGAATTCAAAACCAAGAGCACATTTTAATTATTAATTAAACGGTACATACAGCTACTGAAAGCCAAGGGCCAGTGTGAAGGGGAGGGTGATGAGAGTACTTTCTAACTCTTATCACACTGCATGGAACAAACATCAGATTAAAACCTAAATCACAAACAAATATATTTGGGGAAGACAGGTTTGCAGGGCTATGGGGAGACTGCGGGGGAGTGGGATTGATTTGGGAAGCTCTTTTCAAAGAGCTGGCACAGACACGATGGGCTGAATGGCCTCCTTCTGTGCTGGACAATTCTATGATTCTATGAAAGAAGAAGTTACGTGAACTCCCAGTCTAATGAATAAGAAGATATCAAGACACTTCACTTGAGACAAGAACTGGAACAATACGTGACCTCACAGAGCCATGATTCCAGACTAAACCACAGTAAAAAAAAGTAAAACTACTACTGATACTAATTTGGTCACTCAATCCACAACTGTTTGTGCGACACTGCTGTGCGCAATTGGCTGCCAGGTTTGCAAGTATTATTATTTGGCAACAGAACAAAAATCATACATCAAATCAAACTCACAAAATGTCACTTCCTGGTACTCTGGGTGTTCTATTTGATAATCAGTACATTTTATAAAGAACCTTCCACATCAGGAGGAACATCTTAAAGTGCTTCACAGGATTTACTGTAAAGTATAGTGACTGTATTTTGTGAATGGGGCAGTCAACTTACACCCAGCAGTGTCCCCCCACAAACGGGTACAAATTGAATAGCCAATTATATTAGTTGCGCAGATCACCAGAATAAACTCCCTTCTCTTTTCGAGCAATACCACGGAGTGGGGTGGGGGCGCGGGGGTTAACATACCCCTAAACGGGCAGATGGGAAGCACTTACTTTATGTTGCAATTATCTATTGTGGCAGTGATCAAGGGCATGTCGTATAGCTCGGACCTGTCCTGTGGCAAGTCCACAATGTTTGAAACCAGCTGTAATCTCCTCACTGTTGACTTTGGTTGAGTTCATTTGTATTTACTTCATTTGACTTCGCAAATGATTTCTTTCATCGTTTCCTTATTAACAAGGTCAGCTCAAAGGTTATGAGGGCAGGGTTACGAAAACTATGGTATAGACGAGAAACTAAATGAGCAGCTAATGCGAGGGAAGTGATATGTTTTCAAAGTTAAAGCCATTGCACATGTATGATTTTGCAGCAGTTACTGCAGAAAGCTCTGACTTGGTATTGTCTGTCATCATTTCCACTTTGGAAAGTGGAAACCAATGTAATGACACATTGGTGCATCAAGAGAAACCCTCCCTGATGTGCGGGAAACCGATAACCAATTTCCAGGGCATCTGGTCAGGCGCTCCAAAACCCTATAATTGCAAGTTGTTGTTGTTGTCGTCGTTATCTGGTAACATTGTCCATGCAGTGGCAGACCAAAGCCTTGACGTGTACGTACTGACCAATGATCAGACCCTGTTATACCGATCGGTTGGTAGTTTTATGACCCTCTCTCCCCTTCCCCACTTTCCCCCCGAAACCTCCGTGTTACAACAGAGCTCCACTCGTGTTGCGAATTAGACCCTTATTCTGAAACTCCTCCAGAATCAGAGTCTTGTTGCCAGAAAGGTTGCAATGACCTTCACGGTTGCTGGAAAGCAAAGTTCACGAGACTCCTTTTACTGCAGTCTGTTTGCTGGAAGTCATTGCCTTTTGGTGTCTCCGAATTATATTCGTTTTAAATTAAATGAGGGCATTTGCAAAAATGAGCATCGTCTCCAGTGGAATTGAATTCTGGCTGCTTAATAGTCATCCTGATAGAAATTGCCACCAGGTTTCTGAAGGCAGTTGTTTTTTTTACTTAAAGTAACAATTTAAGTACTTTTCAAGATAAGATATTTCCCCCCTCCCCCACCCATCGGAAAGGGAAAACACATTAGGGTTTTCTTTTCTTCAATAACTCGGCAATTGTCAGACTCCGAACCGGCCAAGTTTACACACAGGATAATTGACAGCTGGAATAGGTTAGCAGGAAGGGTGGTCGGGGCCAGGGACGTTGGGACTTATTTAAGGAGCTGCGTGGAGCTGTAATGTGAAGCAAATCAGTCCGGTATTCTGGAAGCAAGGGATCAACTAGGCCAAAGGGCTTTCCTCATCCAAAGCTCCCGTGCGATTTCATCTAATTCGTCGGAAGTCGATTGTTTTGGGGACTTAATAGCTGGAACGCCACAAGCCACTGCAGAAGTCCGAAACTGTCATTCTTTATTATTATACATAGAGCTTTTGAATGGCCCAGTCCTACACTGCCTGAGCCCAGTAAGCCCCCGCAGGACTGGGCCATTCAAAACCAAAAGGTCACGGGATTGAACCCTGAGCTGGG